TTGCAACTGGATTCAGTATTAGGAAAGGAAAAGTAGTGTTCATAAATAGAAAGACAAAGAAGAGTAAATCGGGAAGAATGAGTTTAGCTGCGGAAGCAAAAATGGGAGCTCTGGCAGCTGGATTGAGTTGGAGGTTGAGATGTAGAGTTGTTTGCATAAGCCTGATGTGAAAGTAACTGTCTCATAAAAGCAGCTTGAGTGGAAGATGCTCCATTCTCACGTTCTAGCTGTGAGGTGGAAGAAGTTTGATTTCCATGCTGGGAAGGTAAGGATACATATCTGCTGTATGAGACGCAAGTGGAGCCCGTGGGTTGGATTCGGGAGCTAGCAGTTCCCTCTGGAAACTCACCAAAGGACACAAGATGCCTTCATCCTTCCTGAAGATTTCCGTCTGCTGTTTGCTGCCAGCTTTGGTACAGGTGTCGAAGTAGGCTGAGAAACCCTGCTTTCCAGCCGGGATATTTGCCTGACTTGCTAGCCCCCGGTGGAATCAGTGCTGCTGCAGCTCATTGCCATGGGAACCTTCAGTTACTAAATTTAATCCAGCCCAGGGTGTGCTTGGCTGTTCTGCTGCTGCAGTGTAGACAGGTGATAAGCCATACATCGATACCGTGCTATATCGCGCCAAGACGACTGGGCGACGGTGACACTGCAGCTTGGCAGCCGCTCTGGTTGTGCTCTGCTCTGGGCCAACGGGCCTCCCTGCGCCCGCCGCCACCTCCTCTTCCTCTCAGCATGGTCGTTCTGGTCCAGCTGCAAGGGCACTTCCAAAAATGCTCGTGGTAGACAGGATTTTACCACTGAAAGCCCTTTCGTGTCTCTGGAACTTGAGGATGGAGGATCATGAAGTTCTCCCAGTGAAGTTCTCGTTCGGGTTGTTGGTAACTCATGTTTTCCCTTGTGTAGTTTAATTTAGTGATGCCATGTTGCTTCATAGAGAATCCAGCAGTGAGCATGGAGTGCATTGAGGATTATGCTGAAATGATGGCCGATTACTGATTAATCAGTTAAAGGTTTTAAACTGTGTCCTCTAAGTTATGGAGTCATGCATCCTAATTTTAAAAACCAATAATTGAGAGGGATGTATAAAGATGTGGATATACCCACCATAACATGTTTTATGAAATATCCGAGGATGACAAGTATTTTCAAGGCAGCAGAGGCATTTTAGGACAGGTGATGATTCTCTGATTGAAGTTACCAGTCAAGGCAGCAGAGGCATTTTAGGACAGGATTGAAGTTACCAGCTAAGAGTGACTCTCCACTTTCTTTCCTTGCAGGTACTACATTGGTCGCCAGATGTTTGTGGTGGTCTCCGCTCCAGAGATGATCAGGCACATCTTAGTGACAGACTTCCATAACTTCACCAACCGAACGGTATGTGGGTGGAACGGGTGTTTTTGTGGACAGAAGTTGGGAGAAGACTGCTAGGAGAAGACTGCTGGGCTGCGTTCAGGCCCAAAGACACTGCGAGAGAGCTCGATAGGGAGGGGAAGATGCACGACATGGTTCTGTGAAACTTAGAGATATATAGCTATATATATGTACATATATATATAATGCCATTAAAAGAGGTGTGATGTGCTTGTGATTGAGGTGTGGGGTGGACGCTGAATAGAGAGTTTTGCTACTGGCCTCCTGTGAAATCCTAGGGCAGTCCCTCACTAGCTCTCTGCCTTGGTTCCCAGGCTGTGTTATGGGGACAGTATTTCCCTTTTTTTCTCCTGGCCACAGTCTTTTCTGTATTTTTAGGCTTGCTGTGGCAGGAACGTGCTGCCTGGAACAGGGGCATGCCTCCTGCAGCTAACATATGTTGCTTTGTCTTATTTATTCCTGTGAAAATTACAAATGGTAGAGAATACGGTTGGGGTCAGCAAGGACTTATACATATTCCATTGATTACTTATCTATGTATAGATATATATTGAAAAGATGTATAGATATATATTGAAAAGCTCCTTTCAAGGGCTGTTTGGAACAAATAATGAGGGGTGGAAATGCTAGAGGGACAGGAATGATTTACAGCAGTTCCTCTGTATTTTACAAAGTAATTCTGTCACTGTGACCACACGTGGCCTCAGTGTCATCCGTTCTGCTCTTCCTCCTGGCACCTTCGTTTGCTCCAACCTGCTGATATAAAACCACAGGTACTCGGAAGGGCCGTGGGTGCCCTCAGAGGAAGTGTCATCCCTGATGAGCTCCCTGAGCTGCCGCCGCTGTCCCTGTCCCTGTCCCTCTGCCCAGCCCGTCAGGCTGCTCACGGACTGTATATCCTCTGTGTTTGCTTGTGCTGGTGCTTAGGGCCCATCTTGGGAATACCTGTATCTTGTAACTACCCATACCAGCATCCCTTCATTCTGCTTGTAACTCCCATCTGAAAGGAGGAATCCCGGTATGTAGGTTTCTTGGGCTGAAGATCTTGTGTCATGTGTCTCATCCCCATTTATCTGTATTTGAAGAAACTTCCTGTCCCTTTTCTTCGTCCCAAGCACAGATTCCTGTCTCCTTGTGACTATACCTTTCCCATGCCTTTCTCCTGAACGTCTGACAGGAGCAGATTCTCCGCATTATTCATCATGTTAGCTGGTGTCCAAACAACAGCTCTCTGAAATCGGAGAGCAATCCTTTGAGGATACATTGAGATACTCATTCTGCTCTCAATTTTAGTCAATCTTGTCATTTGAACACATCTGTCTGTGCATTGCCACCTTTCTTATGTTGGCAGAATTATTCTTTCTCTTAGGGTTTCTATGGTTTATTTCTCTCCCTGTACATCTGTCTTTCATGTTCTGTAGCACTTCTGTTCCTCTGTTAAATTCACGGAATTCAGATTACTCTATCCAGTCTCTCCCTTCCTTTTTTTCTTCACCAGAGACCTTTTAGATGAAGCTCTCTGTGTAGGTTCATATTTTACCCTTATCACTTGGCTGTCCACTAAGCCACTGGTGGGTTTTCTGCACAACACCCTGTTTTATATGCGAGGAAGTGAGATACGGATAGAGCGATATCCCCAAAACTAACCAGAAAGCTTCGGCAAATGAGAGATTTAATTCCCATCCCTCACTCCAGCAATGGGTGCTCTTTTCCCCATATGCCCTATTGCTATTTCTGGCTTAGTTCATATGCATTTACCTTATTTAAATGAACTTGCTTTGTTGTATATGCTTTTATTCTGTGATCTTCTCACACAGAGGAAATCTTCAGGTGTTTTTGTCTCTCATCTTCCACTTTGTTCCCTCTCTTCCATCCATTGCCCTCTCTTTCCAGAGAAAGAGCAGCCTTCTTTTTTAGTGACCAGCCACATGCGACTCTGGAATCTTTTTTCATGTTTGAATTTTTGCCCTGAAAATTGCCTCTCCTCTTGAATTCACAGTCAAGTCTCCGTGAAGTGTTTTGTTATGGTATATATTAAGGCTTCTGTACAAAAATAAATAATGTTGGATGGTATGTAATGAAGGCCAGTTGAATGTATTCATATGTAATTTTGGCTGCATGTGAATAATGGTTGTAAGGTGAGGGCAAGAAAAGCACTTTCCAAGTAATAGAATTCTTTCTTTTCATATTGACTGAATACATGTCATCTCAGGTCTTTTAATGGAATTGCTACTGTTTATATCTTTTAAGATTACTGAAAGCACAAACTGCTTTAAGTAAGAGTTTCTATGTGCTGTAGGTGAACTTAATATACAAATTATATCCCTCTTCCTTACTTTACCTCTTCCTTCTCAAATGCTCTGCTGATGAGTGGTTATGGGATTCATTTTGGAGGTAGTGCTGTGCACCAAGCCAGGCTAATGCATTTTAGTCCAGACATGGCATTCTTGTGCTATTTCAGTCCCCAGCCTTTTTTGGCTTGACAGGGTTAGGCTTTCAGGGTGGGAACAGGCCTTGGGAAAAACCACAGCACTCTCTTTAATTATTATTATTAGTCTCTCCTAAAAGCATTTCCAAACCCAGGATTGGTACCTCGTGCACCAAAGGGGCCATGTCTGTGTATTAACCCAGAGTGCCATGAACAACACTGTAGCAGTTGGAGCAGCCCATATGTTGATGGAGTGTCACGAAACTGCATGACGTATAGCACTAATTCTCAATGCTAAGTAAGTGTATCATAGAGGGGAAGAAGGTGATATTCCACGTGTATTCTGTTGCTGTTCCAATTATTGTTTATATATAAATATATATACAAACTATTACTTTAATGCGTATGTGTATATATACATATATTTTAGAGTAAGAGACAATGAGAAATTGTATTTGGGAAGTTTTGTAAACATGAATGATGGAGCTGATAAGATGATGGTTCGGTGAACCTGGAGCTTTTGTTAAAGCTGTCTATAATGTGATGCCATACCTTCGATTACTGGTAAGAAGAATGACCTTAATCCATGGTTGTGGGCTTGCTGGCTACTTACTGAGAGTATTCAAAAGGTCTGTAGAAATCAGAGTGGCTTTTGTCTGCTGAGAGGGCTCCTGGAAGAGTTTGTTTAGTTTGATATCTAGGCAAGAGACCACATAGTTCAGTGAAATCAACAGGTAAAGGGCCATGTTATCTGTGATTTTGGGGGCAGGAAATCAAAGTTGGTGAAGACATTGTCTAGTTGTGTTACTGTAATTGCAAATTGCTTCTTCCCTCGTGCCAGGTTACTGCATTTAGGGATTTCTGATCCTGAGCAGTTCTTATGGAGGTCTGAGGGGACACCTTTGCCTGATTTCTTTCTGGAGGAATAGAGGGGGCTTGCCATCACTGTTGAAATTATGAATGTTTTACCTTTTTGTGCTAGAAGGAAGCTGGCATGGCATTCTTTCGGCCTTCGAGGGACATTATTATGGCTGTACTGGTACTGGCAGTGATTTTGAGTAGATTAACGTGATTTTTTTCCAGTAATATCAAGGCAATATCACCAGATGCTGGATTAATTGGTTATGTTCATGCTGAATAGGGATGTCTACACTGGAATGACAGCTGTGGAAATAGCAGCATCTTGTCCTCTGCCTCCACATCCAGAGGGACCTAGTCCACTTAGGAATGTTTTCCCCATTGGGCCTACCTGCTCGCTCATTATAATGGCAGACTAGATTTTGCATGTGAACAGAAGCCAAGCTATTGTTCATTTTATACATTTATATTTCCCCGTGATATTATACATCTCACATCTCCACTAAGAATATCCTTTGAATGTAAAGAACTGTCCTGTAAAGAACTATTTAAGTTCCCTTGCAGCCTTCTATTGTTTTTGAGTTAGTGATCAGTAATTCTTATGACAGAAGTATTTGGTGACTGCAGATGAAGTCTGCATTAAGGTTCACTTCATTATTTTAATAAGCAACTAAGTCTAGCATGGAGGCTGTTATTTCCCTGTAAGCATGGGGTATATTTTAGCATTAGCCGTATAATCACAGGAAGGCAATAACGACCTCTTATTTTTCCACTTAATTTTTTACTTGATTAAGGTGAGCATTGTAACCATTTAAAAACAAAAATGTCTAGTGTAATGTACCCTCATACTTGAGGGGTATGAAGGCTTTCCTCTATGTTTTTAATTATAGTCTGAGAAGAAAAGATGAAAATTAGTTTATATACCTTCTGCCAAAAGAAAATATGGAATTCATTTTAATTTATGTTAACCATGGAAACCTCAGCCAGAACTCTAGGCAGAGCTCTGCTGCAGTAAATGATACCTTCTTCTCATATGCACGGTAAATTGTCTCTTGAATAGAAGATTTCTTTTAAGAGCACTAACACTGTTTCTTAACCTTTTTAGTTGCATTGCAGTGTTGTGCGAGACAGGTTTACGACATTTGTTGTATTCTGCCAGGCAAGATAATGATACATAATGCGTTTTCAGATTGGTTTTAATTTCTGCATTGAAAATTTATTTTTGAATTGGTGCTTGGGAATCGTTAAAGTGTACGTTTAAAAACGTAAGAGAAGAATGTCCCGACGTAGCAATTTGAAGGGAGATAGTGCAGTTACCCAGGTGGTCTGTCATTTAAATGACAAATTGTTTCAGAAGCTGCAGGCCAAGCTCTTTGCAAGAAAGTGGATCGGTGAGCCCTACGGCAGAGGTAGATACTGGCTAGTCAATGTTTGTCTGACTCCGGAGTCAGAGCTTTACTGGTGTGGTTACAGCTAACACACGTGGAAACTAGTAGTTCAGTGAGAAGCAGCTCTTGTTCAGCGATGGGCCGTGATGGCTGGCCTACCTACCACTGCGTCAGCTGCTCTTTCTCATCTCTGGTTTGAGGATAGAGCAGCGGCGTGAAACGTGCGTGTGCATATTGCACGCTCAAAAGCTGCACCCACATTTTGGGTCAGGTCTGTAGCTAACGTAAATCAGTGGAGCTGCATCAACTTCAGGTGCCCCTATGGTGAC